CAGAGTCCTAGGATTACAGGCGTGAGCCACCACGGTTGGCCAGTTTAGTGGGTTATGACCAGTACTTTTTTTGGTAATGAAACAGACTAGAATTATATCTCTTATTTCAATTTCTGATTTTTGATATTTTAAATAGCTCTCCTAAGAACATTCTTATAAACGTCTTCTTATACATTTTTAAATTTCTTCTTTAGGATACATTACTAGCAGAGGAAATAATAAGTCATGGAGTAGGGAGTGCTTTTTAAGACTTTGGATACTTACTGCCCAGTTGCTTTCCAGAAATATTCTACTTCTATACGGCCTCATTATTGTATAAAAATGCACGTATCATTATTCTGTTGCCCATACTGAATGTTATCATTCTTTTGTTTAATGAGGAAAACAGAATCATATTTTAATGTGAATTTTTTATAAGTGTTAAATTTGTTGCTTATTTTTGAAATAGAAGATATTGTGAGCATTATGGTAAAACAAACTTAAAGTATTTTCTTATCCTCTGAAGTATCAAGAAGATTTTTAAAAATTCTTTTTTAGAGGACTACAGAGTTTCGAAAATAACTGCCTTCTCAGCCTTCCTTATGTACACTTAGTAAATACTGCTTTTGCCCATTAAAATTTGTGTAATCAGTCTCCCTTAGGTGTACATTCATAATTGATAGTATTTGCATTAATGGTTTTAACTCAGAAGAATTTACTGGACAGAAATGCTGTTGTAAGAGTTAATGGTCATTTTTAAACCCACATGTAAACCTTAGAGCTAGTCCATACTTTGTAATACTGTTTCCTCAAAGTTAATTAAAAACAACTTGCCAGCTTTTCAGATAAGACCTCGTTGCCAAGGTTGAGTAGATGATTATATCCATAAAATATAGGATTAATGGGAATTCTATTATGATTTATGCATATTTTAAGAATTTTCCAGGGTAGCAGATAGATATTGTAGATAAGTTTAGTGTAGGTAATTTACACATTTTAGTTTTCAATAAAAAAGCGTCCTTTTTAAAAACCACTTTGTAACTTTCAGGAACACAGAATCAGGAGGAACCAGGTTGAAAATTCCTTCTAAGTACAAAACCTTTATTATACTTTTCATCTCTTTTTGTCTTAAGCCTTTCAAGTAAGCAGAGGAATATACTCGTCGTTTCTAACTTGTGCAGTAATAAGTGTATGCTGCTCCCAGTGCCCTCTGTACACCCAGTCATTTCAGACCTGGTCAGGAGGACAGGAACCTGTCTACCTACCTCTAGATCAAATGTCTACAAGAGATTGCCCAAGAGCAAAAAAACCCCACTGAACCCGTCTTCCCTGTCTTGTGGAAATGGCAGTGCCCCCTGGAGGCATCTGAAATGCATCTTAGTTTTGCACTTAAAAGTTGTTTAATACCGCTTATCTTTTTTTTTCCTTTTTATTAGCAACCTGAAGTGCTCCAAAATAATACCACTTATCTGCAGCACACAGGATTGAAATGATCTGATAGTATAGATAGTGTTAAGAATTAGTCCTTTTATACCGTTTTGTAGCAATCACCTTGGCATACAATTCAATATACAAACATTTTAAATATTTTTAAGGTACTAAAACTGTAATGATTCAAAATATTTCCATTTTTTAAGGGAAAAAATACTTAAATGAGATACAAATGTTTATTCTTTTCTGTCTTGCTTTTGCTTTCTTATGACTACTCCCTGGACTTTTGTCATTCTTAGGTCTCAGCTACTCCCAGTGATACTTCCTTTTCTGAATTTTAGATATTAGCATTTGTATTTGTTTGGTACTTATTTATGATTTTCCATTATGAGCTATTTTCTCTATTTACCTATCTGTCTTAATTTGCTCTTTCTCAGTTTTAAGCTCCTTGAGGGCAAGGATCTATTTCTTTGTATCTGACCATAAAATCTACCACATGGTACGTAATTAATAAATAAATACTGATTAGTTGATTGCAGTAATTAATAGAACTAACCAGAAAATATTTTTCACATTGACTCTTATTGGAAATATTTATAAAAATTATTATTACACTTTACCTTAGTGTAATTAATATAATTACACTTTATTTTATTGTTGAGGATTGCTTCATTTTATGTTCATTATTCTTAGTATCAGTTTTCAATTTTAGGTCTGTAGATTGGGGTATAGGCAGCATAAGATAGGGATATAGGCAGGAGATACTTTTCATTCTTGTTCATGGTATAGAACTACCTAAAACTAGTTCATCTAACAGAGGTACAAATGGTAGCGGTAATTATAAATTTGGGTGGGGATGGAGGAGTACTGCAGGCCAACAACACATGGAAATACCTCAAGTGACATTCTAGGAAGTAACATAAGTGGCAGTGCTGAAGACAACATACAGTGATCAACTCCCCATGTCTCACCTACATTTCACTTTTGTTGTTTGTTGTTGAGGGCGTGGGGTGTTTGTTTAGAAATGCCCAGAATCTGTTGATTGGACACTGTTAAGGGAATAGGCCTACCCAGTAACTGATTTCTGCAGATACGTTGAAATATAAGTTTATTTGAGCTTATCTTTATAAGAATTTGAATAATAACTAACCCAAGAACATAACCATGATGTTTTATATTTGATTTTTTTGTTTATTATCAGCAAAATCCTTGGCATGTGCCTCCTTTTTTGTTGTTTAGTTGGATTGTTGAAAAACACTATAGTTTTAATCAGTTTCTGATCACTTTGGGTCTAGTTAATCCAGGTTATGAATTGTAGTAGTATTTGGTTTTGTTTGAATTACAAAAGAAATACCACTTTGAAAAAAATTTCCTAGTGTTGTTAGCCTTCCAGCAAGGTGATACACTGTATATTTTAAAACTTAACCTGTAAACAAAGTTTTAATCTCCTTTCATACTATGACAATCGGTTTTTTCTCTATGAAGAACTATTTAATATATAATATAGTACTGTTTTTTCACAA